CCTGCTCGTCCCGAAGGGCGCATGTGTCCGGCGTGCCCGATTCGCCTGTTGGGCCGTACGTGGTATTGGGCCTGCCGAGGTTGGGCCCATACCGGAACAACTTCTGACAACTCTTAATCATTAGGGATCACTTATTATACTTTTATACTTTTAACAAATATAAAGTTAATTATATTTTGGTAATATGTGAAATTGACAAAGTGTCCTATAATTTAGAATAAAATATTAAATAAATAGAGCATTTTATTTTAATAATTATTTTTTAAGTTAAAATATCATGATATTATGGTGTAAGTGAATCTATGACTTGGTTCAATGTGATGATTTTGGAAACATCTATAGATAGTAGTAACCATAAAGAAGTTGACCTTGGTACGATGGAACCATATAAAAGCAAAAAAGGTATAATTTTGCACCACACTATAAACAAGACATGAGTTTCAACTTCAACTTCAAGGCAACACAAAAATAGTACTTAGAATTTTGCACACACCAACAATGCATGAACATGAACTCCATGCGTGTAAACACAGCACTATTTCCCTTTTCTATTGTTTTTTCTTTCTCTCTCTATCCTCTTATTGGTTCTCTGCAATCTACCCTTAACTTAATATTCTCCTCATCAGCAAGATTCTCCAAAACACCGTCTTTCTGCCATTCTCTCTACTTTCTCTTCATTGCTTTCCAAGCCAAGAATCTCTCTTGATTCCTCTCCTCATCTCTCTCTTTTTCAACCACTATTAACCATCCATCTACAATGCCTCTTCTTTTCCATCCTCTCTCTCTTTCTCTCTCTTTGTCATTTTCATTCTTCTTCTTCTCCCCTCACCCTCACTCTCCATTTCATTCTTATGGCTCCTTCTTCAGATATCAACCATCTTTCTCATCCATGTATATATGGTATTCTCTCTGTTTTCTCTGTTTGTTTCAATCATCAAAATTGGAACTTTAAGCACTTAGATTTCCAAAGTTATCTCCTTTACACAATTTCACTCCAACCCACTTGATAAAAATTTGATTTTTTTTAATTATGAACCACCCCATTAAGCTATTATTTGAACTTCAAGTTTTTTCTATTGATTTCATTAAATGGCCATTCTTAAAGTCTTAAATTTTACTTTTCATAGGAATCCAAGAGAATCAAAATTGTCTAGACCATATTGTTCCTAATAAACACTAACACAGATACGAACACGCACACATACTAACTATTTGTGAAAATGAAAGTGATTGAATATAATTACATGTGTATGCGTCGAACACCATACATGCCTTCAATTGAGGTGCAATGACTATGCATAAATTCTAATTGAAGTTATTGAATGATGAAAATTTTGGTGGTAAGCAGGTGATTATGTTTCTTCACACCCAGAGAGAAAGTCTGGTTTCATGAAATGGCTTAGTAAGCTTTTCAAAGGTGGGCCTAATAGAGGAAGGAGTGGTCGTCATCTTCACGACTCTTCAGAGGAAAGCGTGTCTTGGCGTGCTCCATCTAGAGCTTTGGTAAACTAAACATCACCACTGAATTTCAATTTTCTTCAATCATGTATATATAGATTTGTTATGAATAGAGAAAACTATCATCACAAGTTTGATTACGGATAAGATATGCTAAACAATACTATTGATGTAATTAGGATGATCGCGGTAGAGCTCAAAAGGAGAAAGAGGATTTGGGCCATGCAATGTCACTTTCTTCATCTGAAGATTTGAAGAGACCAAATGGTAGTTACTTAATTCCACACCAAAAAAAAAAGTGCTTTTCTCTTTGTATAATGACATTTCTAATGAAAGATTAAAGTTTTATCTGCATTATTATTAGCTCATCAAGGATATAGGTGGGGGGAAGGAAATGGTGAAGATTATGGAAAGGGACTTCATGATAACTTTAACTCATCTGCACACCCTCCGTATGCTCCGGCGCCATTTTATCCTAACGAATATAGGTAAAATATGCTCTCTAAAACATTTGTGAAACTTGATATTGCAGAAAAATGCGGACAGACACAGACACGATTAGAGTTGTGGCGGTGTATACAGGCCTTATAAATCTCTAATTATGGTTGCAGACTGCAATTTAAAACTATGGTTCTTCTTGCGTTTTTTATTAATTGTTTCAATATGGGTGTTTTCCTTTGAACAGAAGAATATGTGGCGGCTGCAACCAGGAGATAATCTATGGAAATTGTTTAGGCTGCATGGATACTTATTTTCATCCAGACTGCTTTCGATGCCACTCGTGTCGCTATCCCATTACCGAGCGCGAGGTAATGAAATTTTTGAGATCATCATTTAATTCTCTTTATGGTTTTGACACAATTTTCATCAGTTTCTGACTTTTTGTTTTGTTGATCTAAGTTTTCTTTGTCAGGGAAGCATCCATATCACAAGTCTTGTTTTAAAGAGTTGACTCATCCGAAATGCGAAGTTTGCTTCCAGTTTGTAAGATTACTAACCTACCTTTGCTTATTCAAGTTGTTCTGCTTTAAGGTTATTGAATTTTAGTCCCTTTCATTCCCTTTGAATCTCATGAGATATTTTTTTAACTTTCAGATTCCAATAAATGCTGCTGGTTTGATTGAGTATAGATGTCACCCCTTTTGGTCCCAAAAGTATTGTCCATGTCATGAATATGATAACACAGCTCGTTGCTGTAGTTGTGAAAGATTGGAGGTACTAGTTTAGCTGACACTCCAAATTGTTTTTATGTGAATCTTGTTTTTTATTCTTATTATCTTCATCTTGAAGCCTCGGAATACGAAATACTATGGACTCGAAGATGGGCGAAGCTTGTGTTTAGAGTGCATGGAATCTGCTATAATGGATACTGGTGATTGTCAGCCTCTATACCATTCAATCAGAGATTATTATGAAGGAATGCATATGAGAATAGATCAGCAAGTTCCTATGCTTCTTGTTGAGAGAGAAGCACTTAATGATGCTATTGTTGGAGAGAAAAATGTAAACAAATTTTCATTCTTTGTTTTGGTAATTTTGTTAACACTTCTTAATTTGTTTCAATTGTTTCTTCAGGGATTTCATCATTTGCCAGAAACAAGAGGTTTATGCCTTTCAGAAGAGCAAACTGTCACCAGTGTACGATATTTTAAACATGTTCATCTGTTTTCTTTGGCTAGAATGTGGAAACCATTATGTACACATGTTTGTTAGATGATAAGACTAATTTTCGACGAGTTTACGTTGTTTCAGATACACAGAAGGCCGAGAATTGGAGGTCATCGATTTATAGGGATGAGAACTCAACATCAAAAACTGATAAGAAAATGTGAAGTTACAGCAATTCTTGTTCTATATGGTCTACCAAGGTAACTAACTAGGGACAATGGATCATGCTATTTTCTTCCGAATGATGATGCTCAAACTGCATTTAAGTTCTGATATTTTTATGGAATACAGGTTACTAACAGGTGCTATACTTGCTCATGAGTTGATGCATGCATGGTTGCGTCTAAAAGGTATATTTCCCCTGCAATCGCATGTCTTTACATAGTTACTAACTGAACTGGTTTAACGAAATTGATATTTTTTTTAGTATGTATAACTCTTATCTTGTTTGTGTTCTCCTAAGCAGGTTACCGCAATCTCAATCCTGAAGTAGAGGAAGGAATTTGTCAGGTTCTTTCATATATGTGGCTTGAGACAGAAGTTATGCCAACAAACTATCAAAACATGCCATCAACATCCACAGCTTCTTCTTCTTCTTCTTCCTCATCATCCTCAAAGAAAGGTGCAAAGTCTCATGTTGAAAATAAATTGGGGGAATTCTTCAAGAATCAAATTGTCAATGATTCCTCCCCAGCTTATGGTGGTGGGTTTAGAGCTGCTAATGAAGCCGTTAATAAATATGGTCTACGTAGTACTCTTGAGCATATTCGTTTGACTGGTTTTTTCCCTGTGTAAGAAAAGAACTACACATGTTTTCTTAAGTATGGATTGAAGAACTTGTTGTCTTTTTTTATTGTTCTACAAGTGTCTCTTGGTCTTTTTTTTTCTTTTTATCCAACTTGGTCTCTTGGATGGGTTCAAACTAAAGGCAGAGAGAGCCTAGGACAACTCCTTATATTTGGTCTTGTGAGGATGTCCCTAAGTCCAATTTGACAATAATATTTATGTATTCAGCTAGTGTTTTTTCTTTATGCTTTTAGTTTATCATTCTATCAATGTAGTTGACAATATGCTGTGTTACATTGCTTTCACAAATATTCTTAAAGCAAAGAATCCTTCCATTGCCTATTGATTTTTTTTCAACTTAATAACAAATGGAGTTCAAGAATCAAGAATCATTACATTTGAAAGCAACTTGTTATAATAATATGACCTGTTTGAACTATAAATTGACTATTGTTTTTTAAATAATGTTCAGAATGGCCCCATAACAAATACAAAGTCATTGACAATGAATTTATTATGATTACACTATGGGCCAAATGTAAATCAATGGACTAAAATTAATATTCTAAAATAACAACTAAAGAAACTCAAAAGTGTTCATGTAACTATCATTACTAGAGGAAAAATGGGTCACTTCTCAAAAGATATTCTGCACAACCCTGCAACAGGCCCTGCAACAGGACTTGATGATGCCTTCAAATGCATTTGTGAAAATCTGTCTCCTTAAGGCATGGAGTTGCAGCATTTGTGAAAATCTGTCTCCTTAAGGCATGGAGTTGCAGCCTTTGCTATATAGTTCATTAGACTTTCCCTTTTTTTTCTTTGAGTATGCAAAAGATTAAGCTCTCAAGAATCAAGACCCATAAGTAATAAGTAACAGCCTAATATTTTAAATGTTGTGCAAGTTTCTGTACAGCCAAAAATGCGATTCCCATAGTAGTACTACAAAATTGCCTCCAACCATGAGAATCTATGAAATGAACTTCAATTGATAAATGTCAACTCTAACGGTCTAACCCTTTTGCGTGAATAAGTAACTTATACATTTTAAGTCTTGCAGATCAAGACTCAAGAGTTGGCTGGTGTAATCACGCAGTAGTAATCTCCGCTAAAACCATCTTCAATGTCTCATAAGTCATAAAACAGATGCCTACACCAGGCACCACCTTATAGTATTCGGGCAAAATTCCTCTGTAAAGGCCACGCAAACCTTCCGTCCGGAATATGTGCTTGAAAGTACCAAAGAGACCGGTATTGTACACACGGGCTCGCCCACCGGCCCCCTCAAGTTGCTTCCTCCGTCTCACAAGATCCAAGGGAAATGTTGCTGCATATAGGATAAAAAACATGATTGAACCATATCCATTCTAGTCTGAAAGAGATCCACTATTACAAAATCCTTTTTTTATGTGAAATGCACCGTCAAATCATGTAATGTGGTGTATATTGACTCAAGTGAGAACCAATGCCAGAATTAGAAATAATATCAAAAGTAAACATGTCTGAAATAAATAAGCTATATAGACAACAGAATTTATTATAATAGTGGTTGTATCTATGACAAAGTTGCAAGCCTGCACTTCAAAAATTTACATTGACAGGTCATGATTAAGAAAGACAGCAGTAAACAAGTACTGAAACCAGAGACTCTCCACAATTTGTTGTCAAATTGACAAGATAGGTATACATGAGCAAGTCTTCCTTATAATAACTGCATTTAAATTTAAAACAAATCCAGAACATGAAAGAGATAATGTATACAATATTGGGATTGAGAGGGAAGTTACTAGAATGCAAAACCACATCCCTTACCTGAATATACAATCGTGGTAGTAATGGCAGACAACACTTTCAATACTATTGATAAATTGGTTCTACTAGAGTTTTGAATGCATGAAGTTAGTGTCTATAGAATACAGTTTTGACATGAAATACCTACCTCAGTAATATATGGTTTTTATTCCTTTTAAGGAACTCTAGTTCTTTTCTACTTAGACAATTTCATTTATCCATTAACTTTTATCATGAGCAATTATATTAGAATTTTTTTATGGGATATCTCATAATTTGTTATTACCACATGCCAACAAGTCCTGAAGAATTCTGATATCCGTCCAAACATCAGGTGAAGGTAACCTAAGTGAGAAGCATACCTCAAAGAGGACACCTCTCACATTTGGTAACCGAGGGAATGATATAGATTCATCCAAGAAATGACATCCCTCAACGGAATCAGCTGCATACCTTGGGGAGACATGTCATAAAATAAAACTTGGGAACATGATTACTTCAGCAAGATATTTAGACAATAATAAATTTACTGAAAAACAGAAAAAGTGTCCTTTTGTTGTCTTCCCTTACTAAATTCTCAAATGCCAGATAAAATAACAACTCCATCTTGGTCTCTGGTTCTAGGGGTCAGTCTGGTTAGATACTTGGTGCAGTTATCTGCATCAAAAGCATAGTAAACCACTACAGAGATTAACTTCTTTTTAAAATTATTGTTTCTACAAATTCAATAGTTTGACTATAGGATTCTTATTTTAATTTAACTGATTGTTGAACATTTGATGCAACAACACTAAATTGAGAACTCTGATGCCACGGAGGTGTAGGAAAAAGGTAAAATACCAAAAGAATGTGCAAACCCCAATTGCAAGAAACATCAAAAGGCAAATTATCAGGAATATGTATCTGAGAAGGAGCATCAAAAGTTCAAATAATTAAGAATATTTACAAGAAGGAAGATCAAAAGTGCAAGTAATAATTTTTCCCTTCGATCACTAACCTGTTGATGATGCAATGCCTGAAAGACTGCCACATGCGAGACTAACAACAACAGGTGAATCGTCCGATCTGGTGCACAGCAAAAAATTAAGTTATGATGATATACATGAAATAACGGAAAATCGGTGGTCAAATTAGCTTGTTGAATTAATTTTGGATTAATTACCTGTGTGACATCCAAAATGATCTCAAGCTTTCATATACGGAGAAGCTGATTGCTATATTTGGCCCAACAGTCTGCAATCACAACAGCAAGCAGTTAAATACACAAGAAATGAATATATATACTTCAATGGCAAATTGATAATAACAGCATACCAATAGTGTAGTTCCAAGTCCCTTATAAAGCCCAAGTAATCCCTCTTCATTGATAATTGTTTGTAAAGCATGCCCAATACCTCTATAGTAGATAAAATTTGTCTGCAAAATTTAAAAAATCGTAATTGATACAAAGAAAAACATAAAAACAAGAATATTGAACAACCAGATGTGTACAAACACTTTATGCAAACAGCTCTTGCATATGCATTTTCAAAATAAGACAATGTTAAGTTCAGAATCCAAGCCTTGCAAGGTTCTATGATCCAAAATAAGACAATGCACATGATGTATCTAAAAACATTTGACAATTTCAATCTCACCTGCGCAGCAAGCCGCGTTCTTACAAGATCCAAGGGATAAGTAGACGTAGCAGCAGTTATGCCAGCCAGCCCACCACCAACAAAATGTATGCAAAGGTCTGCACTGACATTATCCTTATTACTTTGCAGTTGCGGAACCGTTCTCAGCAACTGCACATATAAAAAACCAATCAATATAAAAACAACAAAGAACAAAAGAATATATCTGTCATCACAGAATACCTATATCCTTACCTTCTTGTAATGCTCGTAAGAATAAAAGTTAACTGAAGAATAAGGTAATCGGTGAGCAATTGTAACCAGGTTCCCTTTCCAGAAAGCTCTAAACCCCTCTTCATGAATTATTCTTGAAGCCTCGTTCCATATACTTGCTTTTCTCAAAGTTGCAACATTGGAATGCATCCCCTGAACCTGAAAAAACAAGATAAAGGAAAAACACATTTTCATAACTCTAGAAAATTCAACATCCTGAATAAACTTTACACCCCACCACCTCTCTCATTCATTCGTTCATTCATTCATTTTTATTGAGTGAATCATTCCCAAAAATTATAGGCATCAAGCAATTCAGTTCTCAAAACTATCCAAATTTGAGACACCAAAACCAAATTGATTGACTCATACAATTTGAAGAACCAAGTTAGTTATTCACGATATCATGGTTTTAAATTACAACAACCGCAATTACACCCACAATATTACTGATGTGATAGCCTCAGTAACCACAAGTCCACAACTACAGCCGTAATATTACTGATGAAGCATCAGCAATCGCATTGACCGCAATTGCAGTGTGAATTAAAAATAGATATCAGACAATTTCGCTCATGTTTTCATCAAAATTAGAAATTTCAGAACCCAAAAACTCAATCAATTTATCTCCTTTGTAATGAAAAAGTCTTAACAACAAGTGTTTTTATCTATATATTTCAAACACCTCCAATTAAAATTCATCGTGAATTCCTGTAATTGCAATCGCAACACCCGCAATCAAGACCGCAATTTAAAATCATGCAGTGTATAGTGAGTTCTACTCCAATACTAATTAGCTATAACTTAAATATTCCTTTCATACGAGAACATGAGAAACATAACAATTCAACAGTTGCAAACTAAACCTAAGAACCCTAATAAGAAAACCAAAAGAGATTTATTTTTTATAAATAAATAAAAAAAGAATAAACTTGAAACCTGAAAGAGGATAGTTAATCTCGCAAGTGGCGCCGTACATGTTTTACTAAACGCACCAGCAACTCCTCCGGCGAGGAGCTGAGAAAGCGTCCCAATCTGTTGCGGTGGCGGTTGTTTCTGCACTAACTTCCGTACACCACCGTCCACCGCAACACCAACCCTAGCCTCCGTTTGCATCTCCAAACTCCGATTTTACCCCTGATTTTTTCTCTATTTCACTTAACACCACTCTCTCTTAAAAAAAATTGAATCTTTTCACTATCCAAAGAAGAAAATACAAAAATTCCACAAACAACATTTTCTCTCCCTCATCTCTCTCTCTCTCTCTAAGCGCTTTGTAGTTTTTTTCCTCAGTTGATTTAAGCGACGTCGTTTCCGCGATTCGCCTTGTTCAAAATGATGACGTATCACGCAGGGTTTGCTTCAAAGAGTTTAAAGCTTCGCGGTGGTGATCTACTGCGGCTACGCGCAAGCTATTATCGTGTTTCCGTTTCGTGATTTTAAAAAAGAAGAAGATGTGTTGTGGATTTAGCGTTAGAAGAAGATTGTTACTGTGGAAACGGTTGTAGAGGATAAATAGCGGTGGGGAATATGAGGTTCTGTTTTGAGGAATATGCGTTGGCTTGAAATTAGACAGCTGTAGATATTATGGGAAGGTCTACGTCGGTTTTTTCAAGTGTCCTGTTAAAAGGTGACACGTGTCTTGGGAATTTATCGTAAGATATTCCTTTACCACGTTTTGTAATTTGGGTAGACCCCACACCGACTGGCTTTGCTTTACCTCTTGGAAACCTTTTGGTTTGGTTGTTAAAAAAACAACAAACCGCTTGAATTTGTCAAAATTTGAAGCTTAATAAATAAATAATATTATTTATTAGCACTACTGCGTTCTTTTTTAATTATCATTTTTTTAATAATTTTTTTCTTAATTGGCATTTGTAAAATTTGAGTTAGTATTAATTACTTTTGTCAGAATTATTCTTATATAAATATTAAATAGATATAATAAATGATTAATAATATTATATATAAAAAAAATTATTGTATAAAAATTTATAATATTGAATAGTTTTTGTGTTAAAAATAAAAAACTAACACTTAAAAAGTAACTCATGACTCCAAGTTAATATTAGTAGGATGCTTACTAATACCGGTAGGATGCTTACTTTCAATGATTAATATAAGCTAAGGAAAAAAACTGATGCCTACATAGAGTACTGATTATGCAAAGTTAACAAAATTGACGGAAAATAAAATCATATATATATATATATATATATATATATATATATATATATATATATATATATATATATATATATATATATATATATATATATATATATATATATATATATATATATATATATATATATATATATATATATATATATATATATATAGATTTCTTATAAATATTTCAAATTTTGTATTCAGTTTTTTTAAATATTTCTTTTAAAGTATTAAAACTGTCGTTGAGCTAAAAATCGTGGCTGAAACCGTCGTTAATTTTATCACTAAATTGTAAAAATCGTCGCTAAGTTACAGAAGAGACTAAAAATATCAATTAAATATTTTAGAAAAATTATTATTTGAAGAACTAAAAACAAAATTAAAATATTTATGAGAACTATAAAATATATTTAATCGTATATATATATATATATATATATATATATATATATATATATATATATATATATATATATATATATATATATATATATATATATATATATATATATATATATATATATATATATATATATATATATATATATATATATATATATATATATATATATATATATATATATATATATATATATATATATATATATATATATATATATATATATATATATAATTTAAATTGATTTAAAAGTTGTTACATAGAGAAACAAAAATTTAAATACAAATACAAATTAATAGAAGTATTAATATTAAGGAAGTTATCAGAAGGAAACTCATTCCTCTCTAAAACTTAAACCTACCAAAACTGCACCATTGTCACCTTTCACCACCACCCTCATCTTAACACCATAAATATGTATACTTTTGAAAAGACCAGGCAATGAGAGTTTGATTAAGAGCGAATATCTGGGCACAGTAAAAAATCATGTCAATTTAAAATACATTGGGACAATAAAGGAAGAACGCATGTCTAAAGTATGACACATTGCTCATCTTTCTTCTTCACGTCCTTGGATTATTTCAGAGCTAAAGAGATGTATGAGGAATTCTCGTATCTAGGGGATGTTAAGTGCAAATTTTGACTTAAAATGAACTATCTTTCTTGGCACTTTTTAACTTATTTCTCATATTTTTATAGATTTAATTTTTTTTTCTTGTGTGATTCTTCAATTATATTGCAAATACCTTTGATTTCTTTGATGTGTGTGTTATTGTGCAGAAATTAGGCCTAAAACATCAATGAGTAAGACACAAAAGATTAGACAAGGAAGCCAAAGAAACTGTGAAGATTCTGCAATGTTCGCTGGGCGAACAGTAGCGAGAAGCCAGCGAACGTTCGTTGTGCAAAGTTGCACCGAAGAACCAGCGAACTGGCCTAGACTGAAGTCAGTAGCTAAAGGACCCTAAGTTTGTTGTGCGAACTTCTAGCGAGGTAGTTCACAGTGCGAAGAATTGCCCACACAACGAACTTCAGATATTTCTCAAGGGAGGTTTAACTGTTTAGAGGCACTTCGGGTGCCTAAAAGTGTGTTCGTTGGGGAAAGAAATAGTTCGCAGTAACATGACAGATTTTGTGAATATTATAAAAATACTTTTCTTACTTTTTAGAGATATATGTTATGTTTTTGGGATCAAAATTGTATCCCTTTTCATTTCAAGCTTATTTTAGAGAGAGAAATACAAACCCTAAGAGGGAGAAGGTAAAGTTTTTGATCTCTTGTTTGTGTTTTGATGTAATCTTTTGATACCTTATGTATTTCATTTAATGCATGTTTGTGAACTAGTTTTGATTGTCTATTGTTGATTGTCTTTGATTGTTTATTTATGGGTCTTGACAAAACCTTTTCAAATCTTTGATCTAAGATTTTCATCTATCAATGAGAAAAAATTTGACATGGGGTTTTGTAAGTTGATATTCATTTGCAACATTTCTATTTTATTGTGTTGATTAAGTAGCATGAGTAGGATCAATATGGTAAAGACCGCGATAACGCTTGACAAACGGTATTGCAAGGATGCATGATAATAGTGATGAAGAACGATGTTCACATACATTTGGCAGATTAGGTGAATGCATGTAAAAAAGGGTTAAGCGTATGAACGTATTCTGATCATTGCAGTTAATATGAGGCAGTCATTTATCTGATATGGGTGTCATCTTTGTTTACCTGTTTATCTTTTATTTGAACCGCTATAGACATCTAATCTTCAGATCTGGATCTATGATGATTACATGTTAGGTTCTAAACTCTAGACATAGATTTAGGCTTAGCATTTGCATGAGCATCAGTTCTTAATGCTCTGTGTTGGTTTTGTTGCGTGAGACATCACCAATGAGACAATACAGTTGTTCTCTCGATGTTGCGTTAGATATAACCTCTATTGTGGGTGATACATAAGGATATTAGACGAATGATTGAGTTATGTTTAACATGATCAGAAGAATACATGTGTTATCAATTAATGAGATCCAATCCCAGCAAGGCTCCGTTTATAATTCAGTTTTTACTTTACATTTTTCGTCTTTATATTTTCTGCCTTTATTTATGGGTCCTTGAACTTTTTATCCAAAACTTTTACACAACAACCTTAAAAATGTAGAGAATGTTGAATGGTGTTCTTTCCTTCGCACTGATCCCTGTGGAGATGATATAAATTCCGGAGAGAATTTCTTCAAAACTAAATTTTTTGCTTCTTGCCGCCTTTTTGCAGTTCGAACAAAATGACGTTGTTGTCAGGGATTAGTGTTTAGATATTGAATTGCATTGTTATTATTTTTATATTTTTAAGCTTTATACAATTGTTTATATTGTATATATTTGTTTTCTTTTATGTTTTCTCTAGTGTGATTAGGAATGATGAGAACTCTTTCTAGATTGGTTTCTATTTGTATAAAAGTATTCAACGAAGCTTCGACCAAGTTTGGATGATGATGGTAGGATGTTGAGCATTGAATCCATGCGAGGTAAATTGTACCGCTTTATAGGATGTTAGAATGAATTAAGAATTTTGTGCTTTGTGTAAATGTGTATTCTTGTTTCATGTTGCAACTTGTTTGAATGCTTGTTTCATTTAGGTCCAAAAGTCACAAATTGTGAGAAACCTCCATTGTTTACTATATGTTAGGATGATTGATAACTTTTTTAATTCATTTGATTCATGCTTTATCTTTTGATTATTTTAATTTTGTGGAAGCATTAGAAATTATCAAGGCATTTGTTTATATTGAGCACAACCATATCAAAAGTAACTTACTTGTGAGTAGTGAGAATTTGTCAACCCCTTTGAGCCTAAACAGTTTAGATCTCATTTTAGTGATGAACTTGGTTTATGTACATAATCTAAAAGTTTAGTTCATAATTGAATTTTGTGAGATTCTAAAAAAATTCTTGAACCTTTGAACATTGTTTTAAATTGATATCCTTGCCACAAAAAACTAGGGAGCATTCACTTGAATTTTGGTTTAATTCAAGTTAGGAAGAATGGTAGGTTGCTATAAACTTTTGAAAAATTTCAAGCAAGCATGAAAAGAAAAAGTGTGAATATGAATGTGGAAAAAAAAGAATGCTTGTTTGAAAAAGAAAAATAGAGAATGAAATAATTCTGCAAAAGGAAGTTTGAGAAGGTTTTCAGTAGAGGAAAGAAAGTGGTGAATAAAATTGTGATATGTAAATACCTTGTATAGTGAATGTTTCTTTTGCATCGCCAATTTCGATTCAATGGCCTTTATAAATGTCTCTTTGTTGTAAACCCGAACAAAATATAACATTCAAAGCCCTTAGTGATCTTTTTGCTTCCATATTTTCATTTTTTATTGTTAGATGAATATATGAATTGGATTGTTATTAGCATTGTTTGTCAGGTGAGTGAATTTTTCCCGCGGTTGAAAATTCATTAATTTCTTCATTCTTATTTTGAAGAGGGGTGTTAAAGTGATTCAAGTATGAGAATTTAGTTGTTATTTGAAACATTGCATGATATTT